TTTTTATAAAGAAATCAAATTCTGGATTTGCAATCGTAGTAGTGTATGTCGACGACATGAACTTAATTGGAACTCCTCAAGAGATCATTAAAACTGCTGAATATTTAAAGGGTGAATTTGAGATGAAAGACCTTGGAAAAACTAAATATTGTCTGGGCTTGCAGATCGAGCATCATCCCAATGGTATTCTTGTCCATCAATCAGCTTACATTGAAAAAATCTTGAAGCGATTTTATATGGATAATGCCCACCCGTTGAGCACTCCAATGGTAGGTCATCCATTAGACACAAATAAAGATCCATTCCGTCCTAAAGAGGATGATGAAATTATACTTGGTCCAGAAGTTCCATATCTTAGTGCAATAGGTGCTTTATTATATTTAGCCCAATGTAATAGGCCAGATATTGCATTTTCAGTAAATTTATTAGCCAGGTATAGCTTGGCTCCAACACGTAGACACTGGAATGGTATAAAGCATATCTTGCGCTACCTTCATGGAACAACTGATATGGGCCTGTTTTATTCTTACGAACCTTCCAACGGTCCAAATCTTGTTGGATACGCGGATTCTGGGTATCTCTCCGATCCACATAAGGGTCGCTCCCAAACTGGTTATGTGTTTACTTGTGGAAATACAGCAATCTCATGGCGATCTACAAAACAAACTTTAGTTGCTACCTCTTCTAATCATGCAGAAATTCTTGCGCTCCCTGAGGCCAGTAGAGAATGTGTTTGGTTAAGATCCCTAGTTCATCATATTCGGAAAACATGTGATCTTTCTTCAACAACAAAAGCTCCGACAATCATGTATGAAGACAATGCTGCTTGTATAGCTCAAATTAAAGAAGGGTTTATCAAGGGTGACATAACCAAACATATACCACCAAAGTTCTTCTACCCATATGAGCTTCAGAAGAATCAAGAGATTGAAGTCAAACAAATTCGTTCCCAAGATAACCTGGCAGACCTCTTCACCAAAGCTCTTCCGAAGTCTATATTTCAGAAGTTGGTATATGGTATAGGAATGCGACGACTTTACAAGCAATCAGATTGTTGAAGATCAGGGGGAGAAATCAATCGCGGAAACTCCTCAGTTTTACTACATTGGATGTATGTGCAATGTACTCTTTTTTCCTTCGATCAGGTTTTTATCCCATGTGGTTTTTCCTAACAAGGTTTTTAACGAGGCAACATTGAGCACATCCAACATGATGTCATTGTATGGTGGACATCCAAGGGGGAGTGTTGTAAATCCATACGTTATGGGTTTATAGGTTATGGATGCCCACAATAATATCCATCATTATATATTTGTAACCTATCAATTATGGGTGGTAGGTGATTTAGGTCTCTCTACCCCTATAAATAGTGGCACCAAATATGAATGAAAGACAAGTTGATTTGAGCAAATTATACTGTCTCTTTCTTCCTCTTATTTCTCCCTACATATTCTCTAGTTTTATAACAATAAAAGAGTTTTTCTATTTAAAACCCACTATCTTCCTGCTACAAACTATAGAAAAAAGCATATATCGAAACTGAATAGTGGGGGTTAAAGATGAAGAAGGCCCCTATTTTTTTGAGAAGAAGATGAAGGTCCTTGTGCTTGACGCAAGACAGACAAACTCGCTAACTATTACAGTATATGGTTTACTGTCAATGGAAAGAGATCTTAGACCAAATAAAGATTTTTAAAGAGGTAGGCTCCTCAACGTTTTACGTCTTTAAAGAGGAGTAATCTAGCAATAGGATGTAGAGGAATTTGTATTTTTCTAAAACTTAAAATGAAGAGTGGTGGGGTGTGTGTATAGATGTAATAGAGTTAAGCATTAAGTTGGATGATCTTTTTTGTCTTTTTACATAATAATAAAACTTACAACTTAATGATTTAAGTATTGGGGTGAACAAAGAGAAGTGCGGGGTTTAAATAGAAAATCTCTATATTTAATTGTCAAAAGATGGGCCTTGGGCCTTTGGGGCTCTGTTGATTTAATTAGTATTTCTTTTTATTAATTAGAAATTCATTTTTAGATAAAATCATTATATGAAATTCAAATATGTTTAAACAGTTATTATAACTGTTGGATGAAGAGGTATTAGACCTCTATATATTGACAATTCGTCCAAACTAGAAGATATAGAATTTGGAATTGCATTATCATTCTCACATAAATACTTACTGAGAGAAAGCATATCAAAGTTCGCTAGAAATCAAAGCCACAGTGCTTAGGCTTTGATTTGTGATAGCTTAGTCCTGGTGGACAGACTCCTATCAAACTACAAGCACAAGGGTAGAGGAGAAATACTATCTAAAGGACACTGCAACTCTACAAACTCTATCATCTATCCAATTCAGTATTTTGTAATTCATTCTATTGCTGTATTGATTTGATTATATATATATAGAATACATTTCGTATTGTTTTTATTTTGTTATTTGGTTATATTCTGATTGTTCTCCAACATTGGCCAACTGATGAGTAAAAGGAACATAACAAGTGTGTAGAACACCTTGACTGTCATTAATAGAACTTGCCCAACCAGAGTCTGAAAAGCCAAATAGTGATAAATCAAAGGTCCGATGAAACAGAACACCATGCTCAAGAGTCCCCTAGATGTTACGAAAAATCCGTTGGACACTTTGAAGATGAGTGGTGCGAGAAGCATGCATGAATTGACATACATGATTGATGACATAGGCGATGTTAGGCCAAGAAGGGTGAGATATTAGAAGCCACCAATCATATATACTCCGATAGGCAAAGGGATCAAGTAAGGAGTCGCCATGAAAGAATGCTCTTAACTACTTGAGCTATAAACCCCATGTGAAATTTGTAATGGTTTGGATAAGGAAATTTGTAGTGTTCATGGATAATTTAGTTCGATTGAATTTGATTGGTTGGAACTAGTAACTCAACCGAATAATATACAATACACATGAGCTATTAGGCCCTGTTTGGTTCACGAAATGAATCTTGCGCAGCACAACTTGCAGACACTAGCAGATCCATGAATTTTTCAGAAAAGGGGCAATATTTAAAAGCTTAAAGACTCAAAAAGAATTAAATAACCAAATACCCTTAGGTCAATAACTAATTTACTAATCACACTAACCCACTCGACTCTCCCAAGAGGCACGAACGGGCCTATATCATATCCTGCTGACGTTTGTTGTTCCCCCCAAAAAGGAAAGACACACATCAGTCTGTCATCGATCACCCAATAGAATGATTCCATGTCATCAGTCTCTTGAGTCTCAGATCGGTAAAAGACAATTGAGCGGTCTCATCTCACCTGTATAAAAAGGAGTACTTTCCACCTAGAAAGGGTAATATGAACTTTACCATACTTAAGTACAATACTTTTAGCCTTCTTTGAGAATGACTGACTGACTTAGGCATCGGAGGGTAGTCGGTGAACCTACCACCACCTCTTTAGTAACCCATTCTCGTTTCCATTTTAAGGAGATTGGAGCTACCCACCACCGTACTTGGTGTAACATGGGTGGAAAATGCTTTTAATTTTTCAACCCTTGGTTGGCACTTAGACTCCTCCTAAATCAGCCTTATCGCACCTCCAACTCGTAAGACTTCAGATTTGCCTTTAATTTTTCAACCCTTGGTTGGCACTTAGACTCCTCCTAAATCAGCCTTATCGCACCTCCAACTCGTAAGACTTCAGATTTCACGCATTGACACAAGTGAATTCCAACACACCTAAGCAAGACTTGCCTACACAGGAAAACTCTCACACACAATATACGCGCAAAGTTCTCAACCTTCACAAGGTATTTATAAGCATAAAACATGTAGATGACACCCCTATCTACTAAGGAAACGTTGGCAGCCTCTAGATCTGCCACCTAGACATTCATTTCTATCACAAAACCTGTCCAGCCCACTCTTGACTCCACCTTTCAGCCCATTATGCCTTGAGGGCACTATTGGTACATGCAGCCATTATCATGTAACCACCCCCACTTGCTCCAACACTTATCCATATCCTGAATTTTAAGCTACAGCACTCTCAGCCACGTTCAAACTCCTTTGAAACTGCTCAAAATCGTTCAGCCACGTCAGAATCCCTCTACAACACGTCTCTAGCATCCTGCCACGTCCCAGCGCACGTCCTCTCGACATGTTGTGCGCGCGCTGGGCCCCCCTGCACTGCACTCCTTCCTGCGCTGTGCTGATACCAAGTCTTACTACCTACTCTTAGTCTAAAACTCACTTCTTCTGACATTGTCTTGCTTTCAGTGTGCACCTCCGTTGCACCTTTGGCTTGCCTTGGCATGGTGCAAAATATCAAAATCATGCCATGGCCTATGCCACTTGCTAAGGGTCTTACACTTGGCCACTCAAAGTGCGATAGAGACATACAGAAGCACAACTTCAAGACCACGTCCATCCTTGAGGAAGGGTTAACTGAGTTTGATGCACTTTGATTGGTTGTGTGAAAACCACGCATCTCAAATGTAGTAAAAACAGGACTTGACTAAATTGAGGAAAAAATTAAGTAAAAAGCAAATCAACAAGAAGGGTCGATTCGAGCTAAGGAGTTGTCAACTCAAATTGATTGTATTAGCAGCAATCAAGTAGAATCACAATGGGAATAGTACGTCGTTTGGGAAATAATAGCAGCAGATGGCAGAGCAATCTTCAACACATATGTATGAAATTTGTTTAGGGATCAATTGTAATCAGTTTGAAATATGTTGAGATAAATTGTGTGGAAGAGAGCCTCCTCTCTTCTTTTCATCTTGCTTAGGAATCCAACTCCTTGACGCCTAAAATAGCTTGGAGCAAAATTCGAGCTACTTTGATAAAATCCTCACTGTAAGGAATTAAATGCATTCAACCAAAAAAAAAAGAAGGAATTAAATGCATTATGCATAGCTTGGCGCTAAGGTGGATGTAAATAACAGGAAGGATATGAGTTGTGAAAATACCTGTAGGATGTCTATATATGCCTAGAGGAGGTTAATAGGCCAATTTAAGATTATAATCAAATAAATAAAAATAAACTTCGGTAGCAGGATTGATATGGCTTATCAATCCTGAAACGTGCTGGGCATAAAATAAAAGAACACGCAGAGAATTATTTTACGTGGTAAAACCCCACCTCTGGGGAAAATCCATGGGACTCCTCAGTCCAACACAAATCCACTATAGAATGATGATTACAAGAAGTACTCACACACTTATCCTAGACACATTCTAGATAATGTTTACCGACTTCTTCGTAACTCAACTTCTGTCACGGGATGATCTTCGACACTCCTTATGTTGAACGCAATACTGGTCACGATTGCTTCAAGCTCGCTGGAGGATAAACGCCACAACAGTCTTGGTGTCCTCAACCATATGAGTCACCAACATGCATATGTATGCAATATGAATGATGAATAAATTCGATAAGTCACCAAGCAACAAAGGAGCACTTGATGAATTACCAAAGAAAATAAGCACGACAGACTTTTCCTCAAAGATTCAATATACTCAAAATATGATTGCCTTTTTCCTCAAAGATTCAATATACTCAAAATATGATTGCCTTGAAAAGTGAGTTATGAAACTAGTTAGCCGTCCTTTTATTCAAAGTGGGTTTCTCACCCTCGTGAGAAAACCATGTTGCCACAATTTCCATGCAACAACAACTCTAAATCCTATTCAACCTAAAACACCTAAACATGATGCAAAAGGAATCTCTACATAAGACGTCCAACCCAACAGCTATTCAAAAGCTGTCCAATATGAATATAAGTTCTGACCCAATGAGAATATAACTTCTAATTCAATATGGACTCTTAGGAAGACACCAAACAGCCACTTTTATAAATAAACAATTCTCTCCTAAAACAAGATAATTAGGAGATACACATGATGCACGTCACTACACCAAATGCTAATAATTCAACTTAAATCACAATGACATTGAAAAGAACTTCAGCCGAAAATCCTATTGTGAATGCATGATTATGTCATGATTTACCTGAAATCAAGTTTCTCATATTTGTCAAGTCGTGCCTCGGAAGTATGGGATTGAATGAGTTGTGCCAAAACGTCCAGTAACAATTCCTCACAACCTAATTTGCAACCTATACTAGAGTCTAGGAAATGACAATACAATTTTCATACTAACATTTGGGATACAAAATACTTTTACTGAACTATATGGATTGAGGGGTGTTGAGGCCCAAAAAATCTAAGGTTGGGCCCGAATAAATTCCCGGCCCAGTACGACACCTTATTAAGAAAAGACCTGACTTGGAGCACGCAAAAATTCGTCACACGCGCTTGCACGAGCCACAGTCCACATGCCATGCCAAATAAATAATCCGTCATGCTAAGAATCAAGATGAGCCTATAAAATACACTGGCTCTATGAGCCCATGCTAATTATCCCGTCAAGCATCATGTCTCTTTTCAAAGACGATAAAATTCAAGCACGCCAATCAACATGCCATGCCAAGCGGAAAATCATTATTTCACACATAGCCACGCTTCAAGCTTAAGTGAGCCCAAGCCACGCAAATACCCGGGGCTTGCTGAGAAGGTTGTGGTGTGCATGGTTACGAGCACTCACAATGCCCATTGAGGGTTCAAGGGATGAAAATTTTTGGGGCTGCTTGGGAGCCCTAAAACTCAAGCCCATCTCTTGGGCCCAAGCACATGGGTAAGCATGAGAGAGAGAAAAGTGTTCCAATGCCTTAGGAAAATATCTCATAGTCTGCTGCCACACTTAGACAATCTCACGTTAGTTAAAACACCCAAAATAAAGCAAATAGGCTACTTCCAGCAGCTTGACGAAAACATGCAGGCCGCTGGAAAGAAAGTACCAATAACCTGATACTTGTGAACAAAGCCCAGCCCAGATCCTTGTTAAAAACCTAGCATCGTATTCCACCCTTGTCAAAGCTCTAGAACCAAGTCAAACAGAGGTCATCCCAAAAACCAACGGAAATCCGTAGGACATGAGGAATACCCATTGGATAAACGACTCCATCCATTCTCTTTTTCCTCTGCGAGCTCTAATTTGAAAACCAAGGAAGAAAGTAGGTGGCGCCTCACCCCCATGGGGAGGTCCAACTGCATAGAAAGCCTTGGAACTCCAAAGAGTCTGTGACCCATGCGCTCTGGTTGAAGAAATTTCACCAAAATGGAGTGAATGGAAAGAAGTAAAGGAAAAGTGGGAATGGAGGATCGATAGAATTAGGGTTCTAAGCGCCTATAAAAGGGAGTTTTCTCTACCCAGCAAAACAACCACATTAAGAGAGCAAGCTTCATCTCTCATCCCTGAAACCTCTACAATTCGAGCCCTATTCCTCTATCTCTTCCTATTTTCTCTTCTGGTAAATCATCCAGAGCGCGACCAAGCTTTGTCAAGCGGCTGGGAATTTACTCAAGACACCCTATTCTCTATTTCCATCTCTACTCTGCCTTAATCAAAAATCTCTTCAGATCTCTCTCCCCCTTGCCCTGAATATTTGTTTCCATAAGAAATTCAAGCTTTTGTCTCTCTCTCAAATTGCTAAACTTGTGAAGGCTTAGCTCCCATGCCACAAGCTCCTCAAGCCAAGCCATGCTATCACTAATCTGTCACATTTATTTGGTTCATTGGTGAAGGGAACCAAGGTGTTTTCTAAGGTTTTCACAAACCCTTTCAAAACTCTGTTGGAGCCCGGTCTTCGAATTCAAAAACAGGGGCAACCTTCTCCACTCGTCCTTTACAGCGGCCCAAGCCCCATTCGTTTGGCTGCTGGAAGAAAAAAGACCCCAACAAGGGGAATTGGATTTTAGATTCCTATTGAAGTTGTTTACTAAACCATATGAAATTGGGGTAGGATTGGTCCTAATTACTAAAATGTCCCCGTTGTTGGGTTAAAGTAGATAACAAATTTTAAAATTTTAAAATTGTGTGAGGACATAATAGTTAAAAAAGATGAATTCCTAATAGGTTAGTTATCCAAGAATTAGAAATACCACCTCCCAACCAAGAATTGAATTCCTCCAAAATTAGGAATTCAATTCCTAATTTTGTGTGGGCCCCACTTACTTTTTAATTTCTTAATGTGAAGTAAACACAGGAATCCTCCATAGATGGAATTTAATTCTTGATGAGAATTCCAATTCCTGATTAGTAAACACACCATTAATTTAATCTAAAGTACAGGCAAGAGAAAGTCATCCATCAACAAACTTAGTTGACCACAGCAGACGAACTCTATTAATTCTACAGTGTGGAAGTCATCTGGCTCAGCTGTGAGTTACAACAATATATCATTGAACTTGTGCTTTATCAGAAGTTGAGCCTCTTCAACTAGCCTCTTTACCGCCTCCCCTGCAGGTAAAATTTCCTTGATGAGGCCTACACTTTGGCCAGCGTACATCACCATGCTTTCAATGTCACCAGTTGCAGTCACATTTGGAACAGTACCGGCAAGACGACGAATTTCTATTTCCTGTTGGAGAACATAACCCAAAAATTGTTAATGGTTCATGGCCTACATCTTCAAATAAAGTAGATGCTTTACTTGTCAATTATGACAGGATTTCATTCTCACCCTATCATGTATTGTCGAATGACCAATGATAGGCTGATCCGCTTCATTCTGATGAGGAGGAAGAGATTTCCAATCATTGAAGAACGGTGTATGCAGAACGCGACAATAAAAAAATATTAGATTTTGATTAAATGGTAATAATTAGTATCATTATGAACTTTGTAAAAGGCTACACTTTTTTAATTTGAAAACAATGTAATTAACATTTTGTTTTTTGAAAGTATTAAGTTTATCTTGTTGAATCAAACTTTTTTTTTTGGGTTTTGTCGGATGGAATCTTTCCAGTTGATTCACATGAGTGAATTTTGCATGCAAAAGGGATTTTAAGTACGTTTCAAAGTTTTTTCTCTTTCGTGTCTACGTGCGAACTTAACTTTTGAAACCGGCAGAGGATTCCAATTGATTGTAGATCCAACAAAATCCAACTCCACCTCCAAAATATAGAGATTTACCTATGGTTGATTTTTGGATGAATCGGATCGAAAAAGGGGATTCCAATTCCATTCCAAAAGAATTTGGAATGAAAATTCTTTTCCAATTTCGTTCCAAAGAATTTTGGAATTTCAACATCCATTTTAATTTGTAAAACTCAAAATTTTCAGATTTTTTTTGAAATTTTCGGATTTTTTTGAAATTTTCGAAACCTAAATATTTCAGAATTTTCCCTCCCAACTTTTTGTTGGGTTTTGTCTGCTCCTTGTTTTTGCAAGGTTTTATCTCATCCCCAGTTCTCTAGGGTTTGTTTAGTAGCATTTTGGGGATGGATTTTAGTAGCATACTCGCCAAAATTGGAAATTTTCATATTAGAATCGGATAGAACTAGGGATTCGAAAGTTCCGAAATTCAAAAATTCTGAAAAAAAAAAAAGGATTGGAATTGGAATGTATTTCAAGATTCTGAAAATTCTGAAATATATTAAGGGTTCAAGCTTAGTCTACACATAATGACTAGTTTCATGTTGAATTTGATATGACTTAATTGAAAATTTTGAAAAATCCTACGGAAAAGCTCGAAAATTTCCTATCACTTAAAAAAACAAGAGAGAGAAAATAAGATAAGCAATTGAAAACTAAAAATGAAATGGTTATCAAACAAGCCCTAAAGAATTTTATTCTATTGCCTCTAATAAGATAAACAATTTTAGTCTAATGCATTAGTCTAAAATTAGTTACAGAAGAAGTTCTTAAAGAAATTTAAAAACTAAAAACTAAAAACCAAAATCTAGTTTTCAAAATTCACCAAAAAATTATCATAATTCCAAAACTTTATGGATAATATTTTTTTTTTATCAATCGGGTTAGGCTCAAATTTAAATTTGGTCACCGAAATTTCAATTATCCAAAATTTCTTCATTGTACTTATAGTAGTTAAGAAAATATGCAGAAAACAATAGGTAACAGAGTTTATGAAGACTCAATGGAAGCAAGAAATAGTAATAAATATAAGTACGGAATTACAGCAACAATTACTCTGAAGTTTCTGAGTGTAAAGCTTTCACTTATATATGGATCGTGATTTTTGACTGAAGAGTTGTTGAAAACATTCAGCCTCTACACACTATAATAATATGTTTCTATCAAAATCAACTGAGGATGAGGTATGCATGTATATAAACGACCATCTTATTCAATTAATTTCAGATAATACATAGTAATTTGTAGGTAGTGAAAAACATATTGGCCAACTTAATACATCCAAATCAAGCGCATCAACCGTTTCTTCCTGTGCCTTCATTTTTCTGCTTTCCACATACAATTAATTATTTTTTTTTCTTCTAATTATTGTTGTCGTACCAGAATTGTTTCTGGAGATACTCAACCGCCTTGTTGTCCACTTGGAAGGCCTTGGCTAGAACCTCAGGATTGATGGGAGGGTCGGAACCAAAAACAGCATTTGCAATGGTGATCACTCCTGGGTTCTGACTGCTGAGGGCAGCTTGGGCTACAGCGTTACCTTCTCCCACATTGAGTTGGAAGTGAATGAGGCCAATTGGGAACACAAACACATCTCCCTTGTTCAACACTTTAGTGAATAGGCGATTATTATCGGCATTCGATGTGACGAAACCAACATAGAGTGTTCCTTCCAAGACTAAAAGGATTTCGGTGGCACGAGGGTGAGTATGAGGAGGGTTTAGGCCATTTCGTGCAAAGTCTATGCGAGCCAGGGATATACCAAGAGTGTTCAGTCCTGCTATTTGGTCCACATTCACTGCTGTCACTGTTGAACCAAGTGGATTTTGTGTGCTTCTTGCAATTTGGAGCCCAGAAAAGAAGAAATCATCTGCATTGGCAAGCTTTGGGTCCTTGCAGAATTTCCCATTCACAAACACTGGTTGTGCAAAACAAAAGGAAAAAAAGCAATCAAAGTAACAGAGTTTATGAAGACTCAATGGAAGCAAGAAATAGTAATAAATATAAGTACGGAATTACAGCAACAATTACTCTGAAGTTTCTGAGTGTAAAGCTTTCACTTATATATGGATCGTGATTTTTGACTGAAGAGTTGTTGAAAACATTCAGCCTCTACACACTATAATAATATGTTTCTATCAAAATCAACTGAGGATGAGGTATGCATGTATATAAACGACCATCTTATTCAATTAATTTCAGATAATACATAGTAATTTGTAGGTAGTGAAAAACATATTGGCCAACTTAATACATCCAAATCAAGCGCATCAACCGTTTCTTCCTGTGCCTTCATTTTTCTGCTTTCCACATACAATTAATTATTTTTTTTTCTTCTAATTATTGTTGTCGTACCAGAATTGTTTCTGGAGATACTCAACCGCCTTGTTGTCCACTTGGAAGGCCTGGGCTAGAACCTCAGGATTGATGGGAGGGTCGGAACCAAAAACTGCATTTGCAATGGTGATCACTCCTGGGTTCTGACTGCTGAGGGCAGCTTGGGCTACAGCGTTACCTTCTCCCACATTGAGTTGGAAGTGAATGAGGCCAATTGGGAACACAAACACATCTCCCTTGTTCAACACTTTAGTGAATAGGCGATTATTATCGGCATTCGATGTGACGAAACCAACATAGAGTGTTCCTTCCAAGACTAAAAGGATTTCGGTGGCACGAGGGTGAGTATGAGGAGGGTTTAGGCCATTTCGTGCAAAGTCTATGCGAGCCAGGGATATACCAAGAGTGTTCAGTCCTGCTATTTGGTCCACATTCACGGCTGTCACTGTTGAACCAAGTGGATTTTGTGTGCTTCTTGCAATTTGGAGCCCAGAAAAGAAGAAATCATCTACATTGGCAAGCTTTGGGTCCTTGCAGAATTTCCCATTCACAAACACTGGTTGTGCAAAACAAAAGGAAAAAAAGCAATCAAACTTTTAGTATTAGTAAGTTGACAGCATACATTAACGTGAACAATATATGTATGATTATATTTGGACCACATTTAGCCAAGCGTATAAATAGTAGGGAAAAATATAACATAGTACATAATATATTGTATACCAGCAGATTTGGTGTCATTAAGTGCTACACAGAAGTCCTGATATAGTTAACAGAAAACCAATATCTTCATAATATTCCTAATTCCTTACAAAAATAATTACTGTGAAAATAAAGAGTAGGGAAAAATATAACATAGTACATAATATATTGTATACCAGCAGATTTGGTGTCATTAAGTGCTACACAGAAGTCCTGAAGAGGGCTAGAGTCAGAGGCAGAGACAAGGAAGGTTGCAAATGCCAATATGGCAAGAGTGTTTATAAGAAAATGAACACCTTCCATCGCAGTTGGCTTAGCTTAGCTAGGTTGCCTCACACTTGTTGTGTACAGAGAGTTGGTTTGAGGGTGGAATGAAAATCCTTCATGGGATATGAAGTCTATTTATAGATTGGACAAAAATGAACTGGTGTTGCAGAAGTAGGTAAAGTCTGAATTATAATATATTTTTTTGCTTCTACTGGTATGGAATTAAATGCATGACGCATAGCCTTATTTGTCTAGCCCTAGAAGAAATAAAAAGAAAAATCATGGTGATAAAGATCAGGTATTAGGACTTCTACAAAGAGTAGTTAAAGGAGATAACAATATTAAGAATATTTTCACACGTCCCGTCTGTATTGGATGAACATACAAAAATTACTCCTACTTCATTTTCCGATGGAGAATAAAATTCATTCTACCAACCAATTTAAGATTAGTTAACGACTTGTAGTTAATGTCATACGGATTCATTCTACCAAAGAGTTCATTCTGTCATTAACATTGATAGAGACTTTCCACCTCCACCTGCACCGTAGAAAGTTGTGTGCATATGATGACTTTCTCTTCTTTTTCATATCTCACCTTCTAGCTATTTTGAAACTGGACTTGCTCTTCATTTTTAGAAGCAGCGGATGCTCCTCACTATCCTCCCATTTGTGGTTAATTTAGCTTGTGGATGTAATTATGGGACTTGCTTTTCCTACTTAAAGTCTTCTCTTCGTTCTTACTTTTTTTCTCGAGTACAATTAGATACATTAAATTTGTTCACCAAAATTTATTTACCAAATAGAGTGGTAGTGTTGAATTTATTCATATATGATACATATATGACATGTTTGATTTGGTCATTTCCATTCTTAAGCAATTAAGCATAAATTCTTAGGGCAAGCTCAATGATGGCCGTAAATCGGGCTGCACCATCTTGCGAAAAACACGTAAAAATGAGTCTCAAAAACCTTGTACTCATAACTTCAATAACTCAAAATTTGAGATGGTGCACCGTAGTATAACATGAGAATTTGTAATATAACGTAACAGTGTGAGAAAAATTTCATATTGTATCCCAAAAAAGTACTTGACGTACCAAGTGTTAATAAATTAACCTGTGAATCTTATTTCATAAAGAGATTCCTTTTTGTCCGAATAAAAATTATTACTCTTTTGAGTGGTCTTTTGCATGCAACAAATGATTTCAGTTTCGAATTAGATTTAGATTAAATGGTAATAACTATTATCATTATGAACTTTGTAAAAGGCTACACATTTTGAAAGTATTAAGTTTATCTTGTTAAATAAAACTTGTTTTTTGGAAGTATTAAGTTTATCTTGTTGAATCGAACTTGGTTTTTTTTTTTGGGGGTTTTGTCGGATGGAATCTTTCCAGTTGATGCAAATGAGTGAATTTTGTGCACAATGGATTTTAAGTCAGTTGCAAACTTTTTTATTTTTCGTGTCTACTTGCGAACTTAACTTTTGAAACCGACAATAGACATGTAATAACAAAAGTAATTAACCACTTATCAAAAAGAAGAAGCAAAGTACTATTATAGATCAACCTGTCATGTCATATTGGTCAAAAATGACCTGCCTTCTCTTTATGGAAAAGAAAAAAAGGCCTCCGATCTCTCATAGTCATGATTTGGACGTCAACTAAAATCTTATCCTAAAATATGTAACTCTGTAATCCACTAAGAAGATATGAGTAAATCTCAAGGTTTATTTGATAAAGTAGAATAACAAAATATAACCCTAGCCACGGGTAAAATCTATTTAAATACTCCTAGAAACCCTAGGAATAAATAAGGAATTAAAATAGGAAAATAACAAAGTTTCCAAAAACTGTAAAAAATTTAAAACTAGATTTCGGCCTGCTAAACGATCTCGAATGCCCAAAAAATCCCATAACTCATTGTATATCAATGAGTTTTACTCGTGACGCCGTTCTCTTCGAATTGACAGGTCATGGGCCCGATTCTGATATTGGAGCCCAAATTTGCAGTTTGCTTAATTTACTCTTGCGCGAGCGTCTCTCCGAGTCCTGTTCAATTGCTTCCGCCATCTATTCTACATCATATATCATCTTTGACAATCATATTCAAAATAAATGTTTATAATACAAATTACTGAACACAACGACATGTAGTATGATAGTATGATTTTAAGAGAATGATCATATTTAATTGATGAATTCTTTAAACCTCTGATGACCAAATACAAATAAAGAAACTAACTAGCTACAAGATGTTGCATTCAAATATTTTTATGTATCGTTTGATTCAAGTAAAGTTCAAGAGAACCCTGATATTTGACTAAAGAGTTGTTGACAATTCAACCTCCACTTGATTCTCTATAGCTTAGGCCAACTCACATGTCACATCCTGGGATTGGCTTCGCCGTATCACGATGTTGTCCGCTTTGGGGCCCCCATCTTTGCCCTCACGATTTTTTTTCTAGGAGCTCATGAGTAACTTCCCAGTGGATCACCCATCCTGGGATTGCTCTAGCCCCAACTCGCTTAACTTCAGAGTTCTTATGACTCCAAAGCCAGTGAGCTCCCAAAAGGCCTCGTGCTAGATGGAGGCGGGCATGTACATATGAGGCACATCACCCCCTCTCCGTTGATCAATGTGAGATCTTACAATCCACCACCCTTAGGGGCCCGACGTCCTCATCGGCACACTCGCACCACACGGCAGAGTGGCTCTGATACCAAATTGTCACATCCTGGGATCGGCTCCGCCGTAGCACGATATTGTCCGCTTTGGGCCCCCTCTCTGCCCTCACGGTTTTGTTTCTAGGAGCTCACGAGCAACTTCCCAATGGGTCACCCATCTTGGGATTACTCTAGCCTCAACTCGCTTAACTTCGGAGTTCCTATGAGTCCGAAGTTAGTGAGCTCCCAAAAAGCCTCATGCTAGATGGAGGCGAGCATGTACATATTGTTGTGAAAATGGACAAAGACTTTCACTCACTCCCCTAATGATCTTATTGTTGATGGACTTTGTGACACACACAATGATGTATGAATCACACACACGCACTTGAGAAACCAACCAAGCACAAAGTGACACAAGTATTTTAGAGGTTCAACAATTGCCTACATCCTCTTGGTGATCCCCTTGAGAAATTCACTAATGAAAGAATAAGTTACAACTTTGGTTTACACAGAAACCCCCTTAGAACTCTATTCTCTCCCAAGTTGCTCAACACTTTGATGCACTTGTGAACACTCTCTCACACTTGGTGTTTCCCTCCTTGGTGTCTAGACTCTCAAGACCCAACTCAGCTCCTATCTTGAACTGATTGCCCTCTCTCTCTTCCTCCCTTGGTGAATTTAACCTCTTGTGGACACACTAGCTCCCAGCTACTTGACCACCCCTTGAGATTAACAACACTTTTGCTGTCTTGCTTCCTCTTCCCTTTAATACACAAGCCTTTGGACCTAGGAGAAGGCTCCATCCTTTTCTCCTACGTTCTCCCCTTGGTTTCCAGACTTGGACCACAACTTGGGCAGAACAAAGGCTAGTCATTAGTGGTTGCACCAGTGATCCCCTTGAGAAATTCACTAATGAAAGAATAAGTTACAACTTTGGTTTACTCAGAAACCCCCTTAGAACTCTATTATCTCCCAAGCTCTCTTTTCTCTCTCACCCCTTGCTCAACACTTTGATGCACTTGTGAGTGTTTCCCTCCTTGGTGTCTAGACTCTCAAGACCCAACTCAGCTCCTATCTTGAACTGATTGCCCTCTCTCTCTTCCTCCCTTGGTGAATTTAACCTCTTGTGGACACACTAGCTCCCAGCTACTTGACCACCCCTTGAGATTAACCACACTTTTGCTGTCTTGCTTCCTCTTCCCTTTAATACACAAGCCTTTGGACCTAGAAGAAGGCTCCATCCTTTTCTCCTACGTTCTCCCCTTGGTTTCCAGACTTGGACCACAACTTGGGCAGAACAAAGGCTAGTCATTAGTGGCTGCACCTTCAGCCACCCTATTTAGAGCTATAGGGTAGGTACTCCTTGAAGCAAGTCAACCAACATCATTCAATGGTGTTCCAGCTTTTCTAGCACCTTGCTAGACTTCCTAGAACCCATAAAACACCTTAGAGGCCCGAGGGATTAGGTAGGGAACCAACACATGTGAAGACCTCTTGAAAAACGCATGGAAAAAA